AACTGTGGAGTGAGAGCAGATTGATTGTGAAGAATCACACAGGAACGTTGATGTAAATGTCCTAAAACTAAATAATGGGGAAGGCTTCATAACCGTATGACTACCAAAGTCATCCAACTTTGCATTAAAAGGAGTAAATTTAATAAGTCAGGATAGCATCAAAAAGGATAAAATACTTTGGAATAAATTTAATCAAGAGGACACAAAACTTGTACCAGAAAACTATAAAATACTGCTGAAAAAAATGAAAGAAGACCTAAATAAATGGAAAGATACCTGTATTCGGGAGTGGGGAGATTTGCTAATGTTAAAATGTCAATATTACCTACATCTATGTCCCCAACCAAAATTTAAAAACCAATCCTCAGATTCCTGGGGAACTGCAAGAGTCTTCAAATTGCCAAGATAAGTAAAAAACAAAGGAGAAATAAAAAAAAGGAGACATTTCCTGGTATCAAAACTTACTACAAAGCCACAGTACTCACAGCACTAGTACTGATGCTGGGAAAATGTACAGACCAGGATTAAATTGAGAGGCCAGAAACAAATTCAAATACCTGTGGCCAATTGGTTTTTTAAAAAATTTTAAGGAGAAAAAGAAAAAAAAAACAGAAAAAGGGTACAAGTTATACAGAATTTCAGAAAAAATAAACAATAGAAAAATCACTAGTTAATAGATTACATATTGTCATCTTAGAAATAGTTGTTCAAGTTACAAAATTAAAGCATATAAAGTGGACATTCAAACCGTGAGACTGCAAACAGTTCTGTTCAATGATCCAACAAAACTCAGTAATATGGTTATCTATCTTATACACTTAAATAAACATGCAGTTATATCCTTTAGAGCGCTTTCTTTTCCTCTATTTTTTACAACGACAATTACACGTTTTTGGTTTTATTACTCCCACAGTACTTATTACTTTTTTTTTTGAAGAGAATAAAACCAAATGGGACATAATAAAACAGAGTCAGTCAAATCAAAAGGATGGACATAATACATAATGTAAAAACAGAATACAAGGTGACAACAATAGTTACCATTTAGCCTCTTGCTATCTTAAAAAGAACAACAATAGTTGTTCTTTCATACAACAACAATAGTTACCATAATGCCTCTTGCTATCTTAAAAAGAATTGCCTATATCATCAGTTATAATAAAATTGAACAAAACAGTAAAGAACAAAACCAATAAAACCAAAACATTGGAGACATTACAGGACTTCAAAAGACGATAATAGTCAAACCAGAATGAGTGTCACAATGAATCTTATTGTCTTCACAGTTGTTGCCTATACTCTCAGACTTGGTACTATCAAGCAAAACAGAATAGAGGAAAATCAGTCAAAACAAGATGGTGAAAGCAATACAGGGTTTCAAATCAAGTTACTAGGAAATCAAAGTGCGTTACTATAATATATTCTGCTATTTTTTATTTATTTTTTCCCTTAATTAAAAAGATAAAAATAAAAAAATTAAATAATAAAAAAGGAGATTGAGATAAAAGAGGACATAATAACAAAACTGCCCAGGTCAGAACATAACCATTTAAGTAAAATAGTGTTTTACCACAAGATAATCCCGACATAAAAGGAGTTACCATATTGTCTCTTTCCTTGAAATCTTTGAGTATAACTTCGTACACTGTAGCATCAAACATATCAAGACAATGTAAAACCACTCAAGAGAATGACAGTATTACAGGGTATTTAGAACCAACTAACAGAAAATGAACAATGGTTTCGATATAATTTCCTTGTCTATAAAAGTTTTTGTTTATATTATCACATATAATAAAATCCAATAAGATACAACCTGTTAAGACCGATGGAGACAGAAGAACAACAGCATGATGGGACTTCAAAACAAGATGACATTAAATCAGCACTAGCTATTATGTCTTGTTTTCTCCAAAATAGCTGTTCCTATCATCCAATCTTCTCTGCCTCATTTCTGTTGAGCTCTTTCTGTTATTAGTTGTCAGTTTGTCTTCTTCATTTCGCTTTCTGCTCCATTCATTGTGGCCTCTCTGCCACTGTTTCTGGAATCTTGGTATTTGTCTTTTTTAGAATGTCCTGCAGTATTCTCTGTAGAGTTGAATTGGTGGTTGCAAATTCCCCTAGTTCCTCTTTATCCTGGAAGCACCTTGTTTCTCCATTAATTTCTAGGGACAGTTATGCAGGATATATCAATCTTGGCTGGAGGTTATTATCTTTCAAAGCTTGAATCATTTCCCCCACGCTCTTCGTGATTTGATGGTTTGTGCTGAGAAGTCTGCTGTAATTCTGATGGGTGTGCCAATTGTTTTTTAACAAGGATGCCTGCATCACACAAGGGGGAAAGAATATTGTCATCAGCAAATGGTTTGCGGACAACTGGAAATCCACCTACAAAACAGTGAAGATGGACTTGTATGGTATATGAAAGTTAGTTCCAGTGGATGGATAACCTGAATGTAAGGGCTAAAAACATAAAGCTTTTAGAATAAAACATTAGGTAAGTCTTCATGACCTTGGATTTTTCACTAGTTTCTTAGATATGGGCCAAAAGCAAAAGCAACAAAAGAAAAAAAATTGACAAATTGTACTTCATTCAAATGGAAAACTTTTGTATAAAAAAGTACACAATCAAGAAAGTGAAAAGACAAGGCATATGACTGGCAAATATATTTGGTGTCTAGTATTTAGAATATATAATGAATTGCTACAGTAAAACAATCCACCTAATTAAAAAAAAAAGTAGAAGACTTGAACAGACACTTTCCCAAAGGTATAAGATGCTCAATGTCACCAGCCATTAGGGAAATGCAAATAAAACAACAAAGTACATCGTCACATCTACTAGGATGGCTATGAAAGCAGAATCAAACAGAAAACAGGTGTTGCTGAGAATGTGGCGAAATTGAGACCTTCAGATATTGCTGCTAGGAAAGCAAAATGATGCAGCTATTGTGGAAAACAGTTTCATAATTCCTCAAAAACTAAACTCAGAATTATCATATGCCAGAATACTTCTATGTCTAGGCATATGCTCAAAAGAACTCAGAACAGTCAAATATGTGTATGCCAATATTCACTGCAACATTGCTTACAATATCCAGAAATAATAGTCAGTCCAGTAGCTACCAGGGAATGAATGGGTAAACCAACCATGGGACAGCCACTCAGATATTATCCTGTCATAAAAATAAATGGAGTTCTGATACCTGCTACTAGTGTGGACAAACCTTGAAAACATGGTGCTAAGTAAAACAAGTGAGGCACAGAAGGACAGATATTGCCTGATTCCACTTAGATATACGATAGATAAGAAAATTCATGGAGACAGAAAGCAGATTAGACTTTCTAAGAGCTGGAACAAGGGAGGGATGGGAGGAAGTCTTTCATGATTATACCATATTTGCTTGGGGTGTGTATGACTTAGACATAAAATGTCCCCCCAAGGACTCACGTATTAAGAGGTGGGCTTGGGGAAGGTACTTGGATGATGGGAACTCTGCACTTATGGGTGGATTAATCCATTGATGACTGTGCAGTTAGTGGGTGGGGCCCCTGGAGGAGCTGGTCACTAGGAATGTAGCTTGAGGGGGGTCTGTCTCTCACTCTCTGCTTCTCTTCTCTGCTTCCTATGAGCTCTGAGTTGAGCAGGTTTCTTCCATCATGTCATTTCTGCTTGGAGCCAATCAACCATGTATTTTTCTGAAACCATAAACCCTCCTCCTCTTTTAGGTTATGTGTGTCATGTATTTTTTTGGTCCCTGTGATGAAAAGCTGACTGCTACAAGGTGATGGAAACATCTCGGAAATTCATGATGGTGATGGATGTACAACATGGTTACTATAACTAATGCTACAAAAACCATGTTTAAAAGACCAATTTTATGTTACTTGTATTTCACAATTTTTTAACAGGTCACCTGTTTTAGTCATTTTCCTCATGGCTGGGGCAAATATCTGACATCTACAACTTAAAGGAGGACAGGTTTATTTTGACTCCAAGGCAGAATATCATGGTGGAAAGGGCTGGATGGAAGAAGCTGCTTGCATCATGGCAGCCTAGAAGCAGAGGATGATGGGAGAAGACAGAAACAGACTTCAATCCTTTCAGGTCACTCAGGTAGTGACCTGCCTCTGCCAGCCAGGCCCCACCTTCTATCAGCACAGCCAACTGATGAACTTAGCAGTGGATAAATTTACTAACAAATACAGCACCATCTTAGTCCAACTGCTTTTTGAGCCTACGTCTCTGAGCCAGAGTTGGGGGGGAGAGGGGTCATGCTTGATCCAAACCGTAACATCACTCTAGAGAAATTAAGAAATTCTAATTTTGGGCTGAGGATTTAGCTCAGCGGCATAAGCGCCTGCCTTACAAGCAGGCAGTCGTGAGTTCGATCCCCGGTACCGATAAAAAGGAAAAAGACAAAAAAAAAAAAAAAAAAACAGAAATCCTAATTTCAAAAAATAATAATAGAACTGGGTATGATGGAGTACACTGGTTGTCTCAGCTACTCAGGAATGGGGCAGGAGGAGTGTTTGAACCTAGCATTTCAAGGCCAGCCTGGGCACCATAGTGAGATCTCATCTAAAACAAACAAACAAAATAACATGTACTATGTACAAAGATTATATCTGATTTTTATCATACTTCTCCTAACTCAGTCCTGCTTCATATGGAGGTTTTCAGACACTGAGCATTCATTAAATGATGACTAACCCTTTAAAGAAATGACTAAAAGAGGGGCTGGGGATTTAGCTCAGCAGCATAAGCGCCTGCCTTGCAAGCAGGCAGTCATGAGTTTGATCCCTGGTACCGATAAAAACAAAAAAGACAAAAAAAAAAAAAAAGAAATCAATTCTGGGGAGGGGATATCTTTTTTTAAAAAATTTAATTTTAGGGCTGGGGATTTAGCTCAGCAGCATAAGCACCTGCCTTGTAAGCAGGCGGTCATGAGTTCCATCCCCGGTACCAATTAAAAAATAAAAATAAAAATAAATAAATAAAAATTTAAAAATTTAATTTTATTTGTCAATGTTTTCATATACATAATTATAACATTTATTATATGGAACTTGTATGTGTACATGATACATCTTGCTTGTTCTCTTTTTTCTCCAAACCCTCTCCTCCCTAAGGAGTATATATATCCTTAGGCCACAGGATCGTTATTAGACTTTCACAGGCATGGTTAATAGCAAGCAATCTTCCAAGCAATAAAATGTATTTGTCGAGTAACAAAAGAGGCCTCTCTCCATTGAAATAGTTGCTGATCTGGTATGTTGCCAGCCACCTCTAGCCCATAGAAGTCATGCGGAGAATAGCTGTTAGAAATTTTTATGAACAGAAATGACAAACACTTTAAATAAAAGCACTAATTAAAGCTTTTTCCCTACTCATTAAACCCAAATATACTTAAGACACTGCCAATTATATTCCAATGTCAGCAAACAAATGAAAAAAATCACCAAATTTCTAGAGTTTATTTTTCTACAGGCACTCTTGCCAACATGTGCCTTTTAGGGTTTGCATCTGCCGTCTTGGCTGGAGGGGACCATTCCGGTGTCGGTGATGGAATCCAGGGTGAGGCTCAAGGCGTTGGGTCCATGGCAGTCACATGTGTCAGTCACACTCAAAGTACTGCTGATCTGAGGTCTGCTCAGAGGGGTCGCTGGTGGCATCGGTCTTATTTGCTTCTAGTTTCTTGCTGATTACTGTGTTACAATATAACAACATACATATAGGAATATTTTTGGTGAGATTAGGGATTACTCACTTTCATGGGTAATTGTTTCATATTTAGAACATACTGTTGACGTTTTTGAATACTTGTGTTTACTTTTGTAACTGTATTTGTGGAGTCAGGCTAGAGGAAGAGAAATGATTCACTGATCATTTCCAGCATCTTCCTGGTTAAGTCCCCTACGAGATTAGCCTGGCACCTGAGAAGCAGATGGCAAGGCAGAATTAGATGAACAATATGGGCTGAACTCCATTTTCCTAAAATTCTTATGCTGAAATCCTAACACTCAGGATCTCAGACTGTGAGCTCAGAAGCTGGTGACTGAGTCTTTAAAAATGCAATTAACTTCAACCAGGGACATTAGGGTTGTCCCCATTCAGTAAGATGATGTCCTGTGAGAAGAGGAGATTAGGACAGAGATCCACACTGGGAAGACCACAAGAAAACACAGGAGGAAATGACCATCTCCATCTAAGGGGAAAGGCCACTGTTGTAGTCAGGGATTGCCAGGAAGACAGTTTAATATAGAACATATAATTTATAGACTTATAACAGTCACCCAGGGAGTCAAGTACAAGAAGTACAGGAAATCTGTCCACACACTAAGACCCAAGGAATCAAGCTGAGGGCCTGGATCCCACAGCAATGTCCTGAATGAGTCCAGCTGAAGATCTAGAGCCCACAACACGGCTCCCCCACCAGTCCAACCAGAGGCCTGGAGCCCACAACAATGACTCATGCAAGTCTGCTTCATGAACCTGCACTGGGAAGGCCTAAAGGTCAACAGTGGAAGCTGGAAAATCTATGTTAGTGGAATGAAGGGTCTGTGCCAGTAGGCTGAGTGTCCTGCCCTGGAGCCAGGAAGTGATGCTCAAAGCAAGCACCAGAGCCCCCAAAGTACCACAGCCATCCTCAGTGACCACAAGTCCCAAGCTCCTCTGACAATGAGGACAGCTGAGTTCATATCAGGAAACCAGCATGACAAGCTTCTCCAGGAAATTGAACAGCACGCATCTTCCCCTCCGGAGCCGGGAAGTGATGCTCAGAGTAAGGACTAGAGCTTCCGCTATGCTATCCACAGTCATTCTCAGCGACAACAAGATCCCGAGCTCCTCTGGCAATGAGAATGGCCACGTTCCTATCAGGAAAGGAGCTCGACAAGCTCCTCCAGGAGAACCAACAACACCCAGGAAAACCAACAGCACTACTTCTTCCTGTCCAGTTCTTTCTATATTGGCAACAATCCTCGGGTGGGCCATCCACTCTCAGCACCACACTGATTCAATTCCATTAGTATTACAAGTCGATCACCAGTTGTCAGTCTGCCACAGCTACAAAACAAAGCAATTTTGCTGACAAACTGACCTCAGATTTTAGCCTCCAAAAATGTGAAATAGTGCATTTCTGCCATTTAAACGCCCCTCCCCCCAAGTCTGATGCCTGTTAGGAAGTCCTTTGGATCTGGCCCTGTTACCCCTCCCACACCCAGACGTTGGCTGAAGCAGCTCAGGAGCACAGTAAGGCTGGGTACCATGCATCAGTCCTGCAGGCTGGAGCTGGCAGCTCCTCTTCCCCCAGGACGTATTCTGCCAAGTGGGGATCTGAGCAGCCACTTCCACAGCCGCCTGCTTCCCTGGCCATCCCTGACCTTCCGCTTCCCTACCCGTTTTTCCTCCTCCAAGTGTTCATGAGAAGCAGCAGAAAACCAGAGCTGACCAGAAGCTATAGGATTAAAACAGGAGAAAGGCCAAGCCATTGGAAAACCAGGAGGGGGAAATTCCAACTGGCCCCAGTTCCCAGAGTCAAAGCTACAATTCAGAAAATCTAGTTATGTCTCAATACCAAGAGCCATTTCCAAAACGCCAGCCTGACTGCCTCATTCCTCTGCTTAAAGCTTTCTCCTGTTCCTCAGTGCCCACTGCAGTGGGCTTCAGCCCCCTCACAGGACCATTTTTGATCGTGCACTAAACACACACACACATTCACTGCACAAATATATATAAATATACACACACACACACACTTCGAAAACATAAAATGAGGAGTCAAAAAGGGTGATGCAAATATAAGGGGAATTTCCAGCATTTCCTCCATTCTCCTCTTGGACATCCCTGTCTATCACACACATTTAGAACACTTAGTGCGCTGTGTGATGCCTTTCAGGCTGTAGCAGTTTCCTCCCTCTCTGTGTGCCGCTCCAGCCCTCTACCATGCATCTTAGTCCTCTTTCTCCAAACACATCCTTACACTTGTGTCTTGCACATACTGTTCCCTCTTCCAGAAAAGCCCCTCCCTGTCTCCCTTTCCTGGTGGCCTCTATTCACTCTAGGACCACAACGACCTAGGAGGACTGTGATGAGCTTAAGGTTCAGTGTCTGCTCGGCTTCCACTTCAGAGTGTCTTCCACGCACTGGGCTCTTCTGTTTGCATCGCCCTCCTCCCAACCGGATGGCAGGAATTTCTGTCTGGCTTAGATTGTCACCCTGGCAGCTGCCACGAAATGTACTTGACACTCAGCGAGCATTCAGCTGACTTCTGATTAATGAATGCTTCCTGGGTTCCATTTTTATGAGGGCTCTTAAACGTCTCCACTGAGGAAGTGATGATGCACTGCTGTTAGTGTATATACAAACCCCCATACCAGATATTTTCTTAGTGAAAGTTTTGCCCTAGAAAAAATTACAGTACAGTATGGCGGTGGTCTAACACAGCAGAAGGCCAAACTGGGAACGCTCACCCTGAGGGCCACTGCCTCTTTCTTCCTTATACAACTTCCTCCTTAACTTTCCCCATGGACTAAAAAAAAAATTCCTTCAGTTCCTCAAACATCATAAATGTCTACCCAAGCACTACGTCCGGTCAAAGGTTACACATACACCCGCCCTTCTGGTTGTGGTCAAAGGAGATAGTCCAGCCACCATGGGTTGTGTGCTCCTATCCATGTCCTCAATACATGGGTTCTGTTTTTACTTTTTGCTTCTCTAGTGCACCAGAAAACTCTAATATTTAGCATAGATTGCCTTTTTGCTAAATTTGAGGTTTTTAATTGATCCATAGATAACATATGTCACAATCACTACTATAAGGTAGGCTCTCTATAAAATTAAAGATCAACAATAGGAAACAGGAAAGTAGACTTTTTGCAGATAGGAAGAGAATCTCAGGATGCCAGGAGAGAAGAGGCAGAAAGAGGAAGTAAAAAGCACTAAGATGCAACATGTACATGTACAAACACTTCAGGATGAATTATTCATTATGCATTGCAAACATTATTAATTTTTCAAGACTATAAAAAGTAGGTTCCTCTTTCCCGCAGCTGGAGCAGAGAAAGTTGTGCCACGTGTTGATGTGCAGCCAGTCTGAGGATCACGTTTCTCAGGGTTTCTCACTATGACCCATATTTGCAACACTGGTGGCTACAGTAGGGGTTTGAGTCTGTCTTGTATTCTGTGTTGCACTGAGGCTCGCTTATGTATGAAGGACAGAGGTTTATTTGTGAGAGTGCTGTAGGCTGGAATGTCCATGGTTGAGGGGCTGGTGGGGGTCTTCTTGCTACGTGGGTCCATGGTAACGTGTGGAAAGGCAAGAGAACACCTTCATGCATGTGTGTGCAGGAGACAGAGGCTGAGAGAGACAGAGACTGCACCAGCTGAAACTGTAACAGATGCACGCTTGTTACTCTCTTCCACAATAAGGAAGAAAATCTGCCAACATGGATAAATCTTGAGGCATTACTTCCTTAAAGTCCCTACAACCCAACACAGACACTTTCAGGTTGTTCAGTGCTCATAGTGAGGAAAAGGAAAATTCAAGAGGAGAAAGAGAGATAGGAGCAGCTGGGAAAGGAGGGGAGGAGTCAGACAGAACTCAAAGGGAACAGATTGTCAAATAAATACCTGAAATTCAGGGCAGGGTGTGGGAAGGCAGGAACAGGGGAGACTTCGCTCTGCATGAAGTGCCAAAGCCAAACTCCGGGGATGGAGGTGGCTCTGCCCTGGCTCCTGGCCACCCACCTGGTCCTTCTTCCCACGGTCTGGCACCTGCATCAGCCTTCCTTTGCCTCTCTTTCCTACCTTCACAGAACATGCATTTTGCAGTAAGGCCCCTCTGTTTCAGGCACCTTGTCCCAAGGATGTTAGAGTCTCCCGGCATTCACTGCTCCTTACTGTTCTTTACCGTGTGCCTGCCTGTAGCCAACCTCAACCAGCACACTGGAGCCTCCACGGGACCCGTCTTTCTTGACCACTTTGTCCCCATCTGTTGGGAGATATGTACCCTTCTGTCCCCTGCTGTGCAGATGGGGAAACAAGGCTTATTTGGACAAGCCTTGTTTATCTGGGACAAGTATCTTAGCAGAGGTCATGCAGCTTGCTGAATCTTGCTTCCCAGATCTCTGCCGTTCCAGACCTTGAACTTTTCAGCCTCTTCATTAAAGCAGTACAGCGCCATTTGATGTTGAAAAGTCAGTTGGTGTTGTGTAGTGGGAGAGGCTTCTGTGTGCAGCTGTATCCTTAGAGTCTCTCTGCAGCAAAGCACTGGGGGGGGACCTCTAACTTCGGGGTGCCAAGTACTGGGATTAAGGTGAGCAGCGCCAAGCAAGCCCTCCAGGTGACTCCGAGACTAGATGGTGACGAGTATTAACCCACAATTTTGAGCATGCTAAGTACCAGGGAGGAAGAGAGGGATGAAAGGATGGAGGAAGGGAGTAGGGAAATAAATGGAGGAGAGAGGAAAGAAGGATAGACAGAAGGGAGAGAGGGAGAAAGAGAGGGAGAAGAAATGTAGGCAAATAGTGCCTGTCAAACTTGAAGCAGTCTCTGAGCACCTGGAGGGTCTGTCTTGGTGCTGCACACCCGCAATCCCAGTAGTCTGAGAGGCTGAGGCAGGAGGCTGTCAAGTGCAAGCCTAACATTAGTCATTTAGCAACGTAGGGAGACCCTGTCTCAAGAGAAAAATTAAAAAGAGATTGGA